TCTTCACTTTTGAATTATTATAATAAAAGCTCTTAATATCTCGTTTATTCACGAATTTAACCTAAGAATCAAAAACGCATCGCGGACGAGTCCGTACAAACCCTAATCGATTCTAGTAACTTAGTAATCTTTTCTAAAACTCTAATATTAATTATTTAACTCTCTAATTATAGATTAATCACCTTAAACCCTAATTTTCGATTTTCATCTTTTTCGTTCGGTTGTTCACCTTTTAATTCAAAGTGAAGTAATGCAAATCAAATTATTTTTCCTATCACTATGTTAATTAATTCTTTACTTGAAATAGGTATTTTAATTTATAAATTTAGTCAATGCCCACATATTTTATTAATATTGTACATTAGCCTCAAATTCATTACTTTATATATATAAAAGTACACTCCATTAAAATAAACATTTTTCACAAATATTTACAACATATATATTGTAATGTCCCGAAAATGTAAAGCAAATACATAAATGTAGACTCACAACTATCTTCAACAAATTTTAATGTAAACAAATGTTTTAGAAAACTCTTTAGTACCAAAAGATATCTTTTGTACACTATAAACTCTGTCTCATTGAACTATAGTCAAAAGATTACAATTTCAAATTCAACTATAGTGAAAGTCATGTCATCATAGTTCAATAAGTTAGAAAGTTTAAAAATAAAATGTCCTAATGGCTTACAAAAATCAAGGCAAGGGCCTTAGTACAACAAAAATTGGATGCTCGGTCCCAAAACAATTAAACTTGGAGTTTCCACATAATTCTCATCACTGGGGGAGGGAAGTGAGGACCAGGGGGTCACGTGCCCCCCTGGATTTTGGGCTTTGTTTTTTTTTGAAAATATAAAGAAAATATTTTAAATAAAAACAATTACAAAAATATTATTAGAGTGAAGTTTCAATGACATTTTAAAAATTATGAGAACAATAATGGTTATTTTGATTAAAAATGAAGAGATCATTATAAATCATATTATCTATGAAAATTTTATGAAAAATTTTGAATGTAACGGTGATGTCATTATTATTGACATGCAAAGCCAAAAAAAAAGTCAGAAGCTTTTTGACCCATTTTGGGTCATATCACCTCTCACATTTTTTCCTCACAAAAAGACCAAATAAACTAAGAAAGTCAAAAAAATCAGCTTTTTACCAACTTCTCAAAACACCACTAAGTAATCTTACTATAAAGATATGAAATTTATTAGTTTGTTAGTTACATTTGACATGTGAAGTTCACTCTCTATGTGTTTGTTTACTATTAGTTGGTGATATCACATACTAATGATGACGTGGTATTACCATTATATTGAATTTTTAATCAAATTTTGTATAAAAAAAATAATTTATCATTATATAATTTATTTTAAAGCTTATATCTATATTTTTTATATTGTCCATAATACACTAGTTATAAATAACATTATTTTTTTGATATTTCTCGAAATCAATCGTAAAAACTTGTGTGAAATATTTTTGTAAATTTTTTCGATATTGTAATTAATAAGTGCTCCCTTTAATTTGATTTTCTGGCTCCGTCACTAATTCTCATCCATGAGCCTTTGTGCTCCATTCACGAAATCTACCTCTTGATCATTGGGGTGGAGGCACATCGTCAAATCCTGAAAATGTTTGATAGGAATGAACTATACACTCAGTAGAGACACATTAAACAAGGTATCTAATCTATTGGAATACATAATGCTTATTCCATGACAAAATAATTACTTCTATTTTGTTGAATGAAAAGAGGACAAATGCACAATTGTTCAAATTCAAAATTCATTGGAGGTTTGTCTAATTAACTTTGTTTTTTTTTCTTTTTTTTGGGGGCGGGGGGTGGTTTGTTTGATCAAACGATCCGCGAACAACCCAATATTATTCAACTTGACCAAACTGTCTTATGGCCCGTCCCAACCCACTTGAATGCTCAATCTGTCCCACCCCATAAAAGATGATTTAGGGTTTTAGACAAAGGTTTGTAATTCGAGTCCGTCCATATATCCGGCTCGTAAGAGCCTGTATAGGTAAGTCTAATGTTTTGCTTTTTTGTTTTTTGTTTTTTGTTTTTTGTTTTTTGCTCTAATGTTTTTTTTTTATTCTCATGTTTAACATTTTTATTTTTTTCTTTCCGTTTTTCCTCTCTACTAGTAATTATTATATCATACTTGATTGTTTTTTTTTGATTATATGAGACATAAAAAGATTAAAAAAAAAATCAAAATACTTGAATTATGTTGGAAAGTAAACAACAAAAATAAGTAATAAAAATAATAAAAATATGTGAATGAAAAATATATAAAACTTAATAATATAAGTATAATGAAAAATGAATAGTCCGATTCAGTTTGATTTTAGCCAATAAGATTTGAGTTTATGGGTGAAATGTGGTGTTAATTTTTTAAATAGGTTCAACTCGTACCATCCCATTAATTAATCAAAGCCCAAAAGACTCATAAAAATATGAGATTTAAACACAATAATTACGAATTGAGTAAACTCGACTCGGCCCATTGATAATCCTTAATCTTAAGGTTAACTCTCAGTTCAATTGTAATTTGAGTGGACTCCACCAAATAACGAGAGTCCAACCACTCTAGCTGCTTAGTACCTAAAAAATATTTATTAGGGCCTACATACCTTGCCGCCAAATAAAATGAGTAGGTTGGGCAATTTTATCTAAACTATAGTCTACCTTTAACTCGTGGCTCATCACAAGTTTCTCTTTAATGATGTCATTTGTTCATTTAATAGGTTTTTTTTTTGTAGATAAATAGAGAAATTACATTCTAGCAAGACAAGGAAAAAAATTTAAATAAATATGAAGGGGTGCAAACAGTATTTCACTTTGCACCTCACTATAAAATGATTTGTACTCTACATATTTTTCTAATTTTTTTCTTTATCCCACTGAACTATTCCTCCTAAATAAATCATCTCTTTAAAAATTAGTCTGTTGCAATCACATTTTTTTTAATAATTTTTTTACTGTCTACTCACAATGAGTGAATCTCACATCATCACAAAATATGAAGCCTACATCCATTCTGAATAGGCAGTAAAAAATATTATAAAAAGACATGTGATTGTGATCTGCTAAAAAAATTAAATTGATCTGACACTTACAATCACGTTATTTCTTATATGGTTTTCAATAAAATATATGAAACTACATAATTTCATATTTATCTCAAAGAATGAATGGGACCGATATGATATATTTTTATTTAATGAAAGATATACAAACAATAACTGATTGATTTCTTTTTAAATTTAAAAATGCCTAATAATGACTTTATAGCATTTGCCAAAGAAAGTCTAAAAGGACTAGTTTAAAACAAAATAATATAACCCTACATTTAAAAATTATGTTATTTTATTTTAATTTTAAACTTGAATGGTTAAATTACAATTACGAAACCATTATAAAGAAATTCATGACAAAGCCTTAGACGCATGAAACTTTGCAGGTACGATATTCATTTGCGCTTAATCTGCCCATTTTTAGGAGAAGACCTTGGGCATGAAATCAAAATGAAACAAAAAATAATGGCAATACATTAATGAAGTTATGATCTCTTTCTTGATGTACAAAACTAAACATAACCAAGGGTATATTGGTCATTTGACGAGAACATTAATTTGAAATTGGACCTTATAAATAACAACCAACTTTGTGTAGATAGAGCAGACATAGCTGTGAAATTGCCAAAAACTAATAGCTCATCTTTAATTCAACAGAGGCTATATTTTCCAACACTTTCAGGTAAATAATGCTTATGTTTTCAACAAATTTTGTATAAAAGACAACCTTTTTGCAATTTTCTTTTTAGGTTAACTACACTTTTCACTCTAACAATTTGATTCAAATTTCATTTTGATCTTTATAGTTTTAAATTAAACAATTTGATCCTTACACTTTAAATTCTTGTTTCAATTTGGTTTTTCTATTCAAGTTAATTGTTAAAATTAATAATATGGGGACATTTATCAGTCTCCTAAAATGTACATGTAGAAAAAAATTAATGAAAATTTGAATGAAATGACTAAATTAAAACTAGATTTAAAGTACAAGGATGAAACTATTCGATTTGAAACTATAGGGATCAAAGTAAAATTTGAGTTAAAGTACAGGATTTAAAAATATAAATTAACCCCTTTTTTATTATTTATAAATAATTTATTATAATTTATATGATTATTTATATACAAAATTAGGTTGATCAGATATTGGTAATCACATGATTATATCATTTTTCAAAAGAAAATATATAAACACTTTTTTTGTAAAATCACATTTACCATTTATATTTCTCAAAATAAATCTGATTAGATCATGTGACTATCGAAATCCAATCAATTTAATTTTTTACATAATAATATCTTAGATGAGACCTATAATATGAACAATTGAAATTGTTGAAAGGAGTTTGATGTAATGCTTCCTAATGGGCACAAAAGAACCCTTCCTCCTTTTTTTCACAACCAATTAGGAGTACGGTTACAATTTGTAGTTTAGGTTAATTACACAAATAATTCCCACTGTATTGGTCCTCAACCTATTAATTTTGTTACTAAATAGTTTCTACCTTTGTTTTCATTTACAATTGATTACAAAAGTAAGAGCAATTTCATCAACCCACCTATGTCACTAAATTGACATAATTGAAAATATTGAGTTCCAAAATGAAACAAATCACATATTTAAGGACTATTTTTTTTTTCTTTTCATTTTGTTGATTTTTAAATGTGGTTTGACAAAAATACCCTTCTTTCCGTTGTTAACGGTAGACCAAAACATGTATAAATGGATGTAGTTAAACATTGGGAACCAAAATGATACCTGACACGTATTTTAGGAACAGTTTATGTGATTAATCTAGTTTTATGCAATGTCTAAAACCAAAATTAGGAATTTTAATGTTTAATAATGTTCTAATTAATGGTGTTTTAGTTAGTAGGCTGCTTTTTTTTTTGGAAGAGGAGAAGATGGAGAAGCATCAAGAGCTAGAGTGGGTGGAAGCGCAGAAGATTGTGGTAAGCCAAGACCTTGTGGCTGCAGCCAAGCAGCAGCTGCAGTTCCTTGCTGCTGTTGACAGGAACCGATGCCTCTATGATGGCCCTGCATTAGACTCTTCCATACATAGGTACATACTCTTCAAACAAAATGTACTTATTTGTTGAGCTAATATAGATCTTAAGAAAGTTCTCTATGATTGGTTGGTGATCTAATAGGAGAGATGTTGTTGGGCTTATTGGGCTCAATTTTGGACCCATTTCGGTGATTCAAATTGTTCATTTTATAGGAGTTGTAGAGAAGATAATTCATCGAAAAAATTAGATTGATCAGATATCCGTAGCTACATGATCCGAAAAAATTAGATTGATCAGATATCCGTAGCTACGTGATCCGATCATGTATGATTTTGAAAACACACTATTTTTTTAAGGATTAATTACACTTTTTACCTTTATAGTTTGATCTAAATTTCACTTTTGTCTCTATAATTTCAAATTAAATAATTTAGTCCCTACACTTCAAGTGTAATTTTAATTTGGTCATTATGTCCAAAATAGAGGTTAAAATTAACAATTTAGGATAATTGTCAATTTTTTAAGGTGTTTATATACACAAAATTAACAGACATTTAGACGAAGGATCAAATTCAAACTAGACTAAAAGTATAGGGATTAAATTGTTCAAATTGAAGGGACTAAAGTAAAATCTGAATCAAAGTCTATGGGAGAAAAGTGTCAATTCTATTTTTTATAAGACAAATGTAATCCGATCATTGATCAACATAATTTTTTTACATTGATGCTTTTCTTGGACGATTTAGATCATTCGAAATGGACCTCGGAAAGGAATAGGGCCACCAAACACAACTCAGACAAATAATGATTATGGACATAGCAAGCATAACTTAGAGGGCTCTAAATGTGTACTTTTCGGAACCTATCATTGACCTTGTGAAACCATGTAATATATGGTGTAACAACAACCTGTATAAACTCTTGCCGTGACATATGATTGAAAATGTTCACCATTTTTGGAACTAACAAAGCAATATTTGTCTGAAGTTTTTCTGCAAGAAACAATAGATGAAAATAATTCACCAATACCCCATTGCAGAGTATGTTGTATTCCCTTGTGTCTCTGTCCTGATCCCAACGGGACGGGTCAGATTGTAATCACTAACTGAAGAAGGTTTTTTCTAATTCATCAGGTACAAAAACTTTTGGCTTCCATTACTTGCCAAACATACCGAGTCTCGGTTTCTAGAAGGCCCTTTGGTTGTGCCTCTTGACTGTGAATGGATCTGGCATTGTCATAGGCTCAATCCGGTATGTCTTTGTCTTTTCTGTGTTTTTCATATTGTACTACTGAACTAAGTTGCACATTTGATTCAAAGATAACAGCAGGATAGGATTAAATAATCTCAGAATGAAATCTTTTACCAATGTGATGCGATGCGACAGTTTGATGAATGAAGAAGATTAGTTAAATTGAAGAAACTGATTTAATAGTTAGTTATTGGAATTTTAGCAGTTATTGGGAAATAAAATAGCGCAATGAAACTTCAAGTTATGAATTGTGTGCTTTATATAATAGTAATGATTTAGAAAGATAGAAACTTTTTGAACTTAGTTCCCAAACTACGTTCACGTTTTCTCAATTTTATTCAAATTCTGGTGAAAATTGTGATTGATAACAATCATTTTAATAGAAAGCATTGTTATTAACCACCCTTTTTCTTAATTTGAGTATTAATAGAGTTATATTTTAAATTAACCTCAAAACAAGGAAATTTGAAAGCGTGATTACCAAAACCATGTTTAGCAAACACATTTTCATGTAGATTAGGAAATAAGTTTGAAAATATCATATTGTTTTGGAATTAATTTTTAAAGTAAGTGTAAAATGGTAAATAGGTCCCCTTTGTGGCAGCATTGTCCTAAGAGTGCGACAATCTATTCTGGAATGAGTGATTCTACTTACACCACTACTTTATCTCTTGACACCCATCATATGAACTTTTTTTTTTTTTTTCCTTCTAATTTTATCCATGTGTGAAATTACTTTTAAGGAGAGAACGCTAAAATTAAATATATTTTATTATCTTCTTAAGAAATTACTTGTCCCGGCAAATCAAACATGGTCTAAGTTTGTTGGTTTTTCAGATACGATACAAGATGGATTGCATGGAACTTTATGGGAGGATTCTTGACAGTCAAAATGTTGTATCCTCTGTTTATGGGACCTCCAAAGAGCAAACTGAAGAAATCTGGAAAATCATGTATCCAAATGAACCATATGAGCTCAATCTGAATCTGTTTGGCTCTTTAGAAACTGTTTTTGACAGTAAAGTGGAAGCTTCAAAAAGCACCAATTATGATCTGGTTTCAGCAGTCAAAAGGCAAAGCACTTTCTATTACCAGGTGATGAGAAAAGTTCTGTAAGGTTCAACTGTTTCTTGATTAATATTGGCAAATGGAAGCTCTGTCAACAAAATGGATCCTGAATATTTTCCCTACTGTTTTTACAAAATAGTTTACTTATTCAAAGCTAGTAATATAGAAAAATATAAGAATCCTATACAAAATAACAAATTTTACAACCTTTTCATAATAACATGGCATATGGTAATAAAATTTTAGAATTTGAAACCAGACCCATTCCAATGCCACATCAATTAGTGAAGAAATATTGTATTTTTATTTATTTATTTGTATAACACTACACGAAAAGTACTGCCAAATCATTGTACTTGATAAATATCCCTTACCGTGGTTTAAATATAGGACAGTACATTACCCACTATAGTTATTCATCGATATACCGGCCAATACTATCCAATATCAACTGATATACGACTGTACATCTTGTGATGCCCTTATTTAAAACCATGCCCCTTATCATCATAGTACTTGTAGCGGAACTTCTAGACCTTCAACATTTGTCTTATTGATTAACCATTTCAAGTTTAGACGGCAGCAACCTTTAGTCTTTGGCACCATTGGGGGCAGATTCAGAATTCTAACTTCAAGGGACAAATGTTAATAAGGGGGCGGGCATTAAGTTTTTCAAAAAATCTTAGGGAATGAACCTATATAATTTAATAATATACATAACAAATACTACTGTAATACGGTTTTTTTTCCAGCATCATAAACTATGTCTTTTTCTTATTTTCTTATTGAATGGGCTAAATCCTTCATTTCTCCTACTTAAGTAGTCTTCATGTGTGTGCATGTAACAGGTATCCAGAGCCAGCATGAATGATGATCTCTTTCTTGAAGGAGCTTTAGCCCGATACAAGGGGTTTCTGCATCTCATCAAGAGGAACAAGGAAAAAAAAATTACCCACTTCTGTGTTCCAACTTATGACATTGATCTCATCTGGCACTCCCATCAATTGCATCCTGTTTCCTACTCTAAAGATTTGGTGGCAATACTGGGAAAGGTATTGGAGCACGATGACACGGACTCTGATAGAGCTGAAGGAAAGAAACTGAATGTTGGGTTTTGCGAAACCACCAGGCAGTGGGAAGAGACATTTGGTTCACGGTACTGGAGGGCAGGGGCAATGTATAGAGGCAGTACTCCTTCAACTCTAGCTATGAATGTGCAGCCATTGAACACTCTCAGCAAGAAGGCGGTTCCAAACATTGAATGTCGAGATATAATTCAACTACCCAAGAAGAAGATTGTGGAGGTACTCATGCCACTATTTGAAAATTTGTTTTAAGCATGTAATATATGTAGGAAAGGTAGATAGATGCAACAGAATGAAATTAACAAATGGCAAAAAATAAAACGAAAAGAAAGGCACTTAGAGGTAGTCTAAGGTGCTTATATTACCTTTAACTCTACCAATACAAGTTTTTGGAGCTTGGGGGTTATGAAATTATGCTCGGAATAGTATGCTCCTATATGTCACACTAGGACTATCCGTGAAGTTGATAGTTTTGACGGATTTCTGTTTTCCAAACCAAAGTCATCCTAGCTTAATTAGCACTATAAAGGCTTATAAATTATTGTATAGTTAAACTTGGCAAATGGAATGGTATCCCAGGCTTCTGTTATTTCTATCTGTGCCGTATGTTTTCTTTTGTTTGCTTTCCCATTTTTGTACATTTTCACAGATAAATTCCACATTAACTTATACAAGGAGAGTATGAATATTAAATCCTAACATGATCCTAAAAGATTAATAGTCTTGGCCTACATAAAGAGTAGATATATTCATAATATAGCTGAATTAGACAAATCCTTCTTTCTGTGTATGTTTTATTTCCTTGTTTCTTCAAACAATTTTTATTGTCTACAGTCAATTTCATGTAATTTTTGTTCCTAACCACCATTCAGGTTCTGCTAGAGATTGTGGGGGCACGAAATTTACCATCCGAGCATGCAGGCAACCTCTTTGTTTCCTTCAGTAAGAAACAGCCTGATCTGTTCTTCAACACCAGCAGGAGATTAAACATTTTGTCCGAGTCAAGGGAAAAAAGAGTTGCAGCGTTCCAATGTGAACCAACTGGAGAGCTACTCCTTGAACTTCTGTCCACTTCACCTTCCAACGTGCCCATAGCAAAGTCAACCAAAACTTTAGGGACTACTTTGATCTCTCTGGAGGACCTCTTTAACCCGGTTTCCAAATTGTTTGAGGATAATTGGTTTGAATTGGTGCCCACTTCTGGAATTGCAGAGTCCAGGCTTGTCAGTCTTCGTATTGCACTGTCTTTTACCGCTCCGGTTCAAGCACCGTATGTGCTACACATGGTTCAGCCGCAGCCATTCTCAAGTGGTTCTTTTTTCCCACTCCCTGAAAGGGTTTATTGTGCCAAGGGTTGGACACATGTTGTGGATGGCATAGGTAATGTGGTAATCAGCATCCAAATGAGGTACTCAAACTCTATAAACCCAAAAATTTAGACTAGTGGTCAGCATTTTCCATTTTCTTGTACATAACTGCAAATAAATCAAATTGAGAATAGCTAAGGCTGTATTTAGATCATAAATTTGGGTAGGTATATAAAACTTTAATTCTGCTGGGAACACATAAGTCTTTCTAAAAATGGGGGTAAGGCTGTGACACTGCATATATCTTGCCTTTCCTGAACCTTGCTTTAGCGGGAGCCTTGTGCAATATTTTCTTAATATATATATATGTTGTCCTAAGTTTCCTGAGCCTTGTGCAATGATTGTCTCTTGGCCTGCTTGGTTGGAAAGTGATTATCACATAATGCTATAATATGTATAATGTATCTGTTTTGATGCATTATCTCAGTAATTGCTAGAGATATACTAGAACTTAGCATATCATCATAAACCATATTGTATTTCATTATTTGCCTTTTTGCTTCAAACTCAGGATTCCACAGAAATCACAAGAAGGAATCAACGGTATTCCCAAAACAGAAGTGATTGGCATGACAGGATCTGGTGAAACACGTGTTCTTGCTGAATTCATCGGACAAGGATGGTCTTTGATGAATTCTCAATGGTTCTTTCAGCTTCAGAAGACAGTTAGCAAGGAAGATCCTATTCTTGACCTTACAGGGAGCCGAAAGGTCAGTATTTACACCGTGTTTTGCTTCATTTTGGAAGATTGGATATTTGTTTGGGGGGTTTTGGAGGCTTTAATTTTACTAGTCACAATGAGGGATCTGCAGACGCTCCATCAAGACGAAAATCGTAAGGTGGACATTATCATTCCATATTGTTTCTCAATACTGTCTTCAAGCCTCATACAGTTTGATTTATCTTTTGGCAGGTAACCATTTTTCAAGGAAGAAAACTGGGTTATGAGTTCGAGAATGCTGAGAGGAAGAAAAATGAACAAGACTTCATCACCATAGTTGAGTTTTCTATTGAACATCCTTATGGAAAAGCTGTGGCTTTGCTCAACTTGAAGTCTGGTTTTCTCAAGGTACATTTTGTTGATTTTAAAATTTTGATTAATTCGGATGTGTACCTGACATGTGTTAGGAAGTATCTGACGAGTGTCTGTATCCATGTACATGAACACAATAGGTGTGTTGGTGCTTCTTAGGTGGGGTTTGGCAATTGCTTTTTTAGTACGTTTTACTTTTTATAATTTAAAAAAGCTGATGTGTTTGACAATTGTTAAAAAAGTTACTTTTATTTTTGTTATGAAGAAACTTTTATGTGTCGCTTAACCAAAAAATAATGTTATTGGCAAAAATTAACATCAAGGCCAATTTGGAACTCTCCAAAGGCTAGATAAACATTATGTTATATTTTAAAATTACTAAGTTTTGTGCCAAATTTGATACAAGATTTAGCTATAACAAAAAATTTGACAATATTTTTGTTTTTGCATCTCATGATGAAACCCGTAAATAGCATTTCTATTTGATATTTTGTGTGAAAAATAGAAGCAATTACAATTGCACCGTTACACCAATATTGCTATAGTATTGCATTTGTCAAAATAGTTGGATTTTATATAGTGAGTATGTAATAAATAAAAAAAATGACACTTATCATGTCACATTATTGTAGGTCAAACTAAAAATTTAGGGCAAATTACAAAAAATAAAAAAAAACACCACAGGATTTGAGCCATTTAATAAAATAAATCCTGAGTTTTTAATTTGTCAATATAAATCTTATACTTTGGATTTATTTTCAATCAAAACTATTTGCCTATTTTTATTAAGTAATATTGATGTATTAATGGATATTTTAGTCATTAAACTCCTGAAAAAACTTATTTTAGACATTTCATGTATATGTACATTGTGTTTAATGAGTAAAATACTCTCTTCTTTTTTTTTTATATCGATTTTACTTAATGAAAATAGACAAATAGTTTAGATGGAAAACAAATTGAAAGATTAGAGTTTAAATTTAAAAAATTAAAAACTTAAGATTTATTTTATCAGAAACCTCAAACTCTGATTTTTTTTATTTTATAATTACCCAAAAAATTTATTGTTAAAAATATCAATTATTTTTCAATCATCTATCTATCTATCTATTTATTATATAAGGAAAATGATATTTTTAGTGAAAAGCCTTATGAGAGTTTAATATCTCATACTAATTTTCTTGATTTTCTTAATTTTAAATAATTAAGAATATTTCCATTGGCTAACTTTTATTTGATAATCCCACATCAGGAAAAGAAGGAAAACAATGAGTTGTTTTACTCATATAAAGATAATCTTATACTTTCATCCCCAGAAGTGGGAGTGTTCATGGTTCGGTTTTGGACGGCTTGCAGATCGGTTTAGACCCGCCTACATGTATGCGGTTTGGAAAAAATTCAACCCGCAATCACCCGCAATGCGGGTTGCGGTTTGTGCAGATAAGGTTCGCGGATGTGCAAGCAATTGCGGGTAGTTTGCAGATTAGATTTTTTTCAATTTCCAGATTCAATTTCGATTTTCAGATTCAATAAAATATAAGATTGATTTCAATTTCAAAAGTAATTAACTGATTCAATTTCCCCTCCATGAAGAAGTAGATTCAATTTCGTACAATGTTCACAAAGCAAACAAAAAAAAAAAAAAACAAAAACATTCAAAAACAATGTTCTCAAACAATGTTCTCTACAATATTTCTTTTTGTATCATGAAATTAGGATTTGGTGTGTTGGCAAAAAATATTTAGGATAGGATGAATGAAATCAACGGTCTAGATTTTTCTATAAAAAATAAAAAAATCTAAGTGTGGGTTCTTGTTGGTGCGGGTTAAACCCTGTAACGCCCTCAAAAAAAGTACATAAATCAATCATTCACAAGATCTATAGATATAATAGAAATATTATATTTTCATTCATCAGAGTTAATATTACAAGAGATATTACATGCATTACACTTTCACAAATGATCATCCTGAAGTTATAGCATGTAACTCTGAAGGTTAACAACAGAATAAGTGCCCTACGGGCTTACATCTTTCCAAGATTTTGCTTGGTTACAACAAAAGAAGAGTCCTAGCTCTATATATATAAAGCTCTCGGCTTGAATAAACATTCAGCACAAAAACGAAATCACAAAAGTGGAGCCTTCAGCCCCTAAGCCTCCTAAGCTATGCCCTTGGAGGCGGCATGCCATCTGTACCTGAAAATAGTTTCCCAAGTAGGGTGAGCCAAAGCCCAGTACAGATATGCTAAACAATATACGACAATTAACTAAAACATGAGCATCAGATAAATGTACAACATTCTTAACCAATACATATTCTTTTTAAGGTCATTCAACATAGATAGCTAATATCTCAATTCATTTCCATTCTTCCATTCTAGGTAAATCAATTAACCAAATTCATTATTATCAAAGCAACCAATATGAGACTATAACTCAATGGTTCACAATTCATTACATTCATCAATCCAACACTTCTATTTCTTGCCATTTTACGGAACCACGTCCGAGGGAACCGGCAACCATAAATATATAAGATTTTAGGACTTTCACCATGGACACTCCGGCCAACTTAATTATCAATGGAGTCTATCCCCTATCTCCTTCCAAACAATGGAGTACATCCCCTATCTCCCCCCAAACAAAAATACGTATACAATGTATTTAAACACTTTGTCATATACAATGACTAATCAAAACACATTTTCAATGGTTTAATCAAACCGTCACATTCAATGACATAATTCAATTGATTAGTTTCAATCATCCTAATTCTCATGCAGTTTCTACAACAATCATTGTGAGAACCCGAATATAAAAATTAAGTAAATAATATAATAATAATATTACAATCTCAAATATTTTTATGGTGAATCCTAAAGTGCAAATTAAATATTTGGAAGGTCTTTTAATTAATTTTAAACTTAAAATAAATTTATGGGGGAAATCTTTAATTTAGAGACAAGATTTATTATTTAAAAAAAGTGGCAAATTAGTAAGCATATTTTAATCCAATAATATTTGTATGTTATTTAAATTAATTGAGAGAGAAAATAAAATAAAACAAAAGATAATTAACTTGAGCCTTTTGGTTAGATATATATATAGTAACCCTAAGTTGCCTAATACAATATATAACAACCCTAGGGTTCCTAATCTACACTATAGTAGCAGCAAACACAGCAGCCACGAGAGAGAAGGGTTGAGAGAAAATAAGAAGAAGAAAAAGAAAGGATTGCAAACAAAGAAGGATTTTCGGGTGTGTGGTAGGTCTTTATCTCTCTTCTTCCTTTTGCTTTTGTTCTTTATCCTTACTCTATTATTATTTAGTTCATTGATGGAGAGGTTGTAGGTTTATGTATTTTGTGTATATATATATATATACTATTAAGAAATTTGAGGAGTTAAATTCATATATAAAGAATGGGTATTATTCTTAATTCAAAAATTCTGCGCATAATCACGAACTTTAAAAATTAAGAAGCCATATCAAACGGATGAATTTTAATCTGAAATTTTAACAGTAGATCAATTACATATTGAATTGCATATCTGATTTTTTTCATAATTTTTGAGAGTCGAAATCCATATATATTGAGGTATTCAAATCTGTCCAGGAAACCAGTCCGAAACAGTAAATTCGGGAGTGTTGTTCTCTTTGGGTATAAATCCAAAAATTATCAAATTAGTGTCATTAGAACCGCTTACGAGTCAAGTTTCGTACATTTTTGGCCTTGCATTGATTGCTCTTGTATATTAAGAGAACCGTCAATTTCTTTAAAGTGCTGCAAAAAACAACCTGTTTGGATATAATAAATTGTAGATAATTATTTTGATAAGAAAATCAAGTGAAACCAATTGGGTTTGAAACTTAGGATATATTGGTTGATATCTAGAGGTTTTTGGAATTTTTAGAATAGTGTGGAGTGGGTTTTGTAATTTTCAAAGTTAGCGAATAGGTTGGGAAGGCTTGTTTGAAATTCTGTTTTATTTTAAAGTCACAATTAATTAAGTTTTGACCGGAACCCATGTCTTGGGTGATTTTAAACCTTAAAGAACATGAACTTAGGTAATATTTAAGAGTAACGGTGAGTTGGGTTGAGCCGTGTTAGTGCGCTTTAGTTGAGGTTACTTAGTTCCTATTTTTTTTATATTTTTAAATTAGTTGTGACGTGTAGTTTTTATACTTGGTTCAGGGCACTAGTTGGACTTTTACACTCTATTCGAGGATTATATTATTTTGTTTTCAGGTGAGTAGTTTCATACTAATATTTTTATAAATGTTCCCCCACCCTGAACTGTTGGAAAATTAAATTGTTGTTTCATGATTAAACTGTTTTGATAAATTATTATATTATCAATTGAATCAAATTATTTCTGAAACATGTGTAAACTTGGCATACTGTAAACTATATGTTTTGGTCTCATGTTTATAATGATGAGCTACCATGTTTTGCGAAACTGGTGTGTATTTATTATTGGAACCATGTGTGTATTTAGTCCAGGGAAATTATTCCACTGTGTGTGGTGACTCTGGCCACTAGGGAACAGATCCAGGTTGGGCCGTGATGACTCTAGTGCTCAACGATTGTAAGGGAAAGACCTTTAAAAACAACTAGGTGACCTTCAATCGGATCGTCTTTGAGAAAAGGCCCAGGTGCCATCCTGAGGATGACTCTTAGATTGGTATTGGATCTAACGGGGCTTATAGCCTTGAGAACTGTGTGGCATATTATTTTTTTTTCTTGGTACCTAGAAAATTATTGGTGTTCATGTTATAATCTGTTTTAAGTGGAAAATGTCATTTATCAATGTTCTTGCGAGACATGAGTATTTTAAGTGTTGAATTGTGGAACCTTCTTTTTGAAACAGATTGTATTTACCAAACTGTATGCCAATCTAGTTTCTGTGATATATATATATATATATATCTTATTTTGGAATTGAACCCTGTTTTCAAAACTGTATTTACTATCCATGTTGCTACTCACTGAGTTATCAGCTGACTTAGTTGTTTACCATTTCCAGGTGTTAG